CCCGCCCCCCCCCCCCCCCCACACCTAAATCCCTAAACTTCAGCCTTAATTAAAAGACCTTTTGCTTTTTTTTATTTTTAAAGACATCCAGTGGCTGTTTCTGTAAACAAAATTGAATACTTACAGTATTTTGACCAACATGACTTCCTGGATCTTGGTTTCATATGTAATGGGCACAGGTCACTAGAATGGTTGTTCTCACTCATGCATACCACTTTACGTTCGATAATGCCAATACCACATACAGATGAACACTGTTCAGAGTGGGAAAAGAGGTGTTTACAGATCAGCAACAAAGATGTGTTTAAAGAAACATATTTTTCACTAACAAGATCAATGTCGAATATATTTGTCTAGTTCCAGCAAATATAACAGAGCAACTGCAAACAGTGCACAAATGATGGCAAATCCATTTTATATGTCTATTGCTTTTTTACTTATTGGCTTTTAAAGTTTTGAAATAAGTCCCATATACATGTATTCTGGCCATCTGTGCTGCAGTCACCCAATTAAAACACTCAAGAGGCACTTCAATCCAAAAAAACAATGCTTCTTAAAATGGAAACTGCTGAGATGTGATGGCACCATTTTTAGTTACTTCTCACTCAGAGTTCTTCATGTGAAACAGATTTTAGAGCAATGTGCACACGTCTGAAAGATTTAGGGCTTTTAATATAGCGCACCTTGCTCCATTTTCCAACATTCCATAAAACTGTTTGAACACAGCTCTTTCCATTGCATTTGTGATCAATTTGTGATTGCCGTAGAGGACAGCTTTTATAACTGGCAGTTCGTAAGCCATTTACGTACTGATTTTGCCTTGACAGTACTCCTCTACAATAAGTCAGTTTTTTTTTGTAGCCAAACCAGCAACTTCTGGAACACTGAAAAACAGAAATAGATTAATTGTCAGTGAATGCTTGCTGCAGAAATGTTCTAGCAAAGTGCAATCAATTGGTCTGTACAAATATGCTGGATTATTTTCTTTGTCCCACACAGTTTTACATGAAACAAACTTTCCACATGGATCCAGCAAATACGTTCTATTATTGCTCTGATGGTTCAATATCCTGCCACTTTTCAGCATCATTTCAACTACTCCAATACACACCATGACATTACAGCTGCTGTTTGTTTTCTAGTACCTTCAAGGAAATTGCACAAAATCTATCCAACTTCCCATTTTCAAAGTATAATAGGACAACCAAAAAATGTCTTACAAAAACCTGATAAACATAAAGGTCTTCTGTACTTCTGGAAAACGAGTGACCCAAAAAATTTTTTTCAGCTTTCGGTGTATGCTGACTGATGAAAACTATATCCACAAGCAGGCTTCCTTGTTTTACCACTTCAACTAAGGTTACAGGTGATAAGACATAAAGCCCACAAAATGATATCTGATACTAGTCATAACATAACCCTAAAAGATTTACAAAAGGTTAGCATATTAATATCATATATAATTTTACTGACAGAATACACAGGTGACAAAACCATTCTGAAATACTTTAGGTTGTTTGTATTATCTGCAGAAATTTTAGCATTTCAGAACACAAACATTTTAGTCATTGGTTTTATATTACTTTGCAAGTATTATTTTACAAGTTAGGTTAAAATTACTTTTAGGGGTTAGGTTAACTTTAGGGTTTAGTTAGGATTAGGAGTAAAGTGGTGTGTTCGGCCACCTGAAATGATGAAAATGTAGCCCTGTGCAAATTTAAAGTCAAAGCTTGGAGTTAATACAGGACTGAAGACACTTTCTCTGCTCCAATGTGACACGGTTGGGTGAGTGAGTGGCCAAGCAACAGCAATGTCACCTATGAGAAGGTATAGTGAGTTGGACCCCCAGTTTCTACCCCCTCCCCAAGTTTCCTAGCCCTAATGTGACATGCCTAGGTGTCTGAGCACCAGCACTCTTACATTGGAGGAAGCAACATTAGTCATGACATGGAGGCTAAGGACTCTTTTCCTGCCCCAATGTGATATGGCTAAGTGCCTTAATGGGCAATTACCACCACTGTCACATGGAAGTATTGAGTCAGATGCTTTCCCATACTGGAAGTTTCAGGTATTTTTATTTGCTTCCAGTGACGGCAGAGAGGTGGGAAAGTAAGTATAAGCTAATTAAGCAGTCATTAAAGTTAACATTTTGCTTTGCACTGCATACTTTTTGATTAAACCTATTTAATTTAATTTTTTCCGGCCTCAAAATACAAAATACCTGGGGATATTGATCATAGCTATTGCGAGTGTTTGAACTCGCATATGGTTGCATGGGATATATTTTCTCCAGATTTATGTTGCTAGTGTAATGTTGTTCATAAATGAGATTAAATAGACTCCAGGGAAGAAGACTCCTAACTCCAGGCAAAAAGCTTAACTGTCGCTTGGTCATGGGGACTTCTTCAGTAGCGATTGTTTTGTTAGGTGCATAACAGGTGCAATCGAGAAAATAGTGCAAGCTCTGGTCAAAATGGGCGCACATGTTAAAAGGAGCGGCTAAAACGATTTGCACATTCAAAAAATGATCTATGAGGCTAAAACAGTCGCAATTGCTTTGATAAATTCCCCCCACTGTATCTGCTGTAAGTGGTTGATTCCAAAAGTACTGAGACAGAATCACTATGGTAGGTATGAACATGCAACTGACAAACATTTCATTTACTTTCACCCTTTGCAATGAAAAAAAAAGTGACTTGTTATTGTTACATAGCTCTTCCTAGGTAATCCAAAACTGATACTTTAGTTTTTGACTTATGTTGTTTTAAGCTTATTGCAATCCTTGGGAACTACAGCAGCATGAGTTCACAGCTGGAGTTTCCAGTTCCACCTTCTGGCACAACTTGTACAAACTCATGCTAAGGAGTATCACTTCTCCTGCTGCATTTTGGGAAATATATAAAACTGTGATATCAGTTGAAATGCAAGCTGGAGATACAAGAAAAAACAAAGGTGCTACTGGTTGACTACTTTTGTTGAAAAGTACTGATCAATATATAAAATAATCCTTAAAGAAGGTACAATTAAATAAATGCTGAGGCTATGAGTAGCATAGTTACTTAAATCCCATGTGAACCTACCTGGGAAACATCTTTAGTGACAAGTATGTACTTGCATGCAGCATTACTGCATTTCCTAGTAGCAGATGGTTTAGCCGCAGCATCACAGTATGATTCATTCACTGGTCTACCATTGATATCCATACATTTTATCTTCCTCCTGGATTCTTCCTGTTTACAGTCTGCAGAACACTAATTCAAAAAAATGTAATGATGGGCATGCTAAATAGTGCAGTTTACACAATAAATACTACAGCTACCTTTATGCTTTACACATTCTTTCACTAATGCAACAACACCTAACACAATACAATTTCTATATGTTTTACTGACAAGAGGAGTGCTGCTAAAACCTTCTTCACAATGTATTCATTATATACTTTTTGTCCAAAATTTGCAACTTTGTCCTGTTTTAAATAAAATAGTCAGTGTATTCATATTGACAAATGCAAACTATAACTATGGATGAAACAATAAGACATTTGTAGGTGATTCTGTTCAATGACATCACTAAAGTTGAAAGGTTATTACAAACTGACAAGGCAGCAAGCAGAAATTGAATTGTTATGATGTGTAATTTCAACAGTTCAGCCATTTTCTATGACATTGATGTCAGTCGGTTTAGAAAAGGGCATATGTTTTTATCCACATAAGAATGATCTAAGAGGCTAAAACTATCGCAATTGCTTTGATTAATTCCCCCCATTGCTGTTTGTTATGTTTTCTCTCGTAATGTAATGTCTATTGCAAACTTTTTTTAAAATACAAATGGATTAACGAAAGTACTGACATATTTCCAAGAAGGTTATAGAAACTGGAAATATGGGATGTCCAGACATATTAAATGCACTTACACTAGGCCACTCATCTGCAACCCAATAATACTGGATACACTCTGGTAATATACAGGATTGTTGACTGTCTGGACGAGCAGTGTGATTGCACAACGTTTCCTCAATTCGGCCTTGTCCTTTCATCCTACAGTACACATGTCTGTGCTGAATTCCCACTCCACAGGTCACAGAACACTAACACAAGAAAAGAATTAAGATTTATATAAATCTCCACATATTCATATTTAGAATTACCAGATCAATGAAATAACAACCAATAGCAGATTAGCAAACCAGTGTTACATGGGGCTGATTCTCTACAATTCAGTGACTGCTGTTACATAAAATATGCACATTACATTCATTGTCTCCACTACATTTGAAAAAACGTTTTTTAAAACTTTAAGTCTACCCCAACCAGGATGCCAATCCTCATGAGAATATAGATTAATGCAGCAGATCGACCCTCCTTGTCTACCCTTAGCATCCTCCCTCATCAAAAAATAATCTATATTGTTTTAAAGAAGAACTCCGGGGGAAAACATTCTTACCACTTGCAGTGTGGCTACCTCCGCACTGCAATGGTTAAATGCTCATTTGTGTCTAGGTAAAAAAAAAGTTATACTCACTGTGACAGCGCTCCCACCAGCCTGTCTCCTCCTCTGCTGCAGCGTTGGTGTGTCCCATGGTGTCCATACGTCCTATGCACAGTGTATAGAACATGATGACTTTGAGGATCCTTTGACTGCTGCAGCCGAGGGGGAGCAAGGTAGAAGGGAGTGGTCTAAGAGCTGGCCGGCTCCGAGTATCAGGTGAGTATAACTTTTTTTAACCTAGATGCAAACGAGCACCTAACCCTTGCATTGCGGGGGTAGCCCCTCTGCAAGGGTTAAGAATGTTTTCCCTGAAGTTCTGCTTTAATTATAGTTCCCTATATTTACAGCAGTACATTTGGGGTGCCCCATTGTATAGCCTGGAAAAGGTTAAGGGGCCAGTTGTACTAGCTTAATGTATACCATTCCAGGAATCAGAATCCCCTCCCAGACCACCATATATTTAAACATAATGAACATATAATAAAATATTGTGGGGGGAGGGAGTAGGGATAGAAGGTTGTTGTGATTTGTTTTTAAGTAAATGGGAAGTGGAAAAGAAGAAAAGTATATGTGGCAAGTATGTATTGTAAAGATGTGTTGCAGGATGTAGATGGTTAAAATGCTTATGACATTATGATGTAGGTGTTTAAGTTGGATTTAAAATAAAAAGATATTTGGGGGAAAAAAAATATTGTGAAGATTTTTTTGATTAGGGAAAAGATAAGTAAAGGGGGAGTTTTTCAATCAGGTATAATACCATTTTTTAAAAACTTTTTTTAACATAGTTACATAGTATTTGAGGTTGAATAAAGACATCAGTCCATCAAGTCCAACCTATTAGGATCTCATTCTAGGAGTACCTGTACCCCTGTATATTACGGTCCCTTAAGAAATCGTCCAAACGTTTCTTGAACAATTCCACATTATTTGCTGAAAACACCGCCTGTGGCAGTGAGTTCCAGAAAAATATTAAAACACGAAGACCAGGTGTGGTCCTGTAATGTGAAACGATCACTGCTGGACCATTTGGTAATGAACGCTGCACTCTCTTCTGACACACGTGTCGTTTTTTTCATTTTATTATCCTAAAGAAAAGCCATATTGAATGTTCTAGAAATATCATGCTGTGGCCACCCCAAGAGTGATCACATAGTTAGAGTTTGGGGCGAAGTCACCCACAAGCTTCTTAGATCTTCTGGGGACTTCAATATCAAGACTTAGGATAGTTTTGGTTAAGTTTGGAAATTTAGAGTGTATGTCTAGGCACAATATTTTCTTTTTCAGTTAGGAACAGAGTAGGGAATGGTGTCAGTTTATTTTTGCTGTGTCCTATTGAGGATATTTCCATTTACTTTCCATCCTGGAGACTTAAGTCTCTCCTAAGTGAGGGGAATTCCCCCTTGCACATTTGTCACTAGAACAGGTGTCCTCTTTGGAAGATTTCCCCTCATCTCCTGATATAGTGACACCTGTAAAAGTTTGATTTTCCTATCACCTTTCTGTACTGGTAATAATAGTCACCAGTACCAATACAGAGTTTGAATCTTACCAGAAGGGAAAACTCACTGGGATGAAAACCTGACATAAGCAGCAGGAGGGGGTGGGGCGAGGCCGGGGCGACGTTGGATCAGGAAGGGACGGGGCCAGGGCACCGTCGCGCTGTAGGAAGCCGGTGCATGCTAAAGAGAATCTGCAGAGCCCAGCATGGATTCTGCACAGCCCATCTGAGAGTCTCGGGTGTGTTGTACAGGATCTGTGGTGGGGTCTATGTTGGGAAGAGCACACCACACATCATGCAGGGCTCTGCAGTGTCTCAGGGGCTTTGCAGGATCTGTGGTGGACTCTATGGCAGAGCCCACTATAGATCCTGCACAGCCCCCCTGAGATCGTGCAGATTTAGTGGGGGTGTGGGGGTGCCCTAGTTTCGTCTTGCCTAGGGCAGCCCCAAACCAGAATACACCACTGGGTGTATCCATAACATCAAATGTGTTATAAATGCCACAGGGGAAGGGAGACCCTTTAGTAATAGTTGTGGTATGTATGCTGGCCTGGGAATTTAAACACAAAGAAATCACAGTCAGGTTTCCTGAGAGATATACGAAGCATATATTTAATTCTCCAGTTTCTGCAAAAACTTTTTCTAGTGTAAATAATAATAACAATGGGCAGAACATGTCTTACCTCTTCCCACTTTCCAGTTTTCCACGAAGGACATCTGCCCATCCTACACATCTTCTGTACACGAGGCTTCCTATTATGTTTACAATGTAAGTCCTCTACAGGCTGTTCATTGAGCATACATTGAACATCCCTATGTTTTATCCCTTTTCCACAGGTGACAGAACACTGAAACGAGAGTAAAATACAACTGTAAACCAACTGATTATGTTTTCAGCCTGTGTAGCCTTATTAAACAACATCACTAAAGAGCACACTGCATTTTGTTTTCCCACCAGTAATATATTTTGCTTAAATTTTGCATCCTTTTATTATACAAACCTGCCATCTTATACAGCATTTTATGGACAACAATAAAAATTGTTAGCTACCCTAAAGCAGTTTAAAATCCAAAGACTCTCAACCTCAGTCATTTATGCACAAATACCGATGGCCATTTAGGAGAAAAGCCAATTAAAGTATCAGTATGCCTTTGGACAGTGGAACAAAACCCAAGTCGACCCAAAGGAGAACATTTTGCAAGATGACAATACTAACCCCTTAACCAGCATGCAGAAAGGATCACAGCCACGTAAACTGAAATCCAATCATTAAAAATTCTACAAGGTGCAAGACTAAGAACAGAACTACAACTGTTCTCCTTGAGCAGTGACTATAAGCTGATTCACTACATGCCACAGTCTCAAATTAATTTTAATATAATTTTGAATCCTAAAACAATCACTTCAGTTTGGATTGTGCAGGACATATGTGGTAAGGCACATTTAAGAAAGTGTCCAAAAATAAGATCTGTCATTTTTAGCATAGCATTCAAATAGCTTCCGCGTTTTGTTTTCAATGAAGGCTGGAAAAGGAAAGGGATTGTTGTTACGGGTAACAGTTCTCATATGATATACTTTTGTAAAACTGTCACATTTGTTACATAGTATTTGAGGTTGAATAAAGACATTAGTCCATCAAGTCCAACCTATTAGGATCTCATTAGTTATTACACCTTCTTGTATTTTATCCCTTTTTTCTGTGTCCCACCCATCAGTATCGGCCTGCTTTTTAAAGAACATTCTGTATGTACAGAAACATAACTTTGCAGCTTGTAGTACTGTTCTGGAGCTTGTATGCAGTTATCTGAAATTCACTACTTAGACTACAAAGGTAAATAATTAAAAAAACAATAATAGGGGAAGTTGTGAACACCAAAACAGGTGGCAAATAAAAATAAATACACTGCATTGATGTTTTATTTAGCTGCCATAAAAGACATTTTTAATTCATGAGTATATTTACAAAAAAAATATTTCTTCTTCAAAAAGAAATAATGCCAAAGAAATATAAAATGAGGAAAACCCCAAACGTTCATAGCAAGTGCAAATGGAAGAGCAGTATTTATGTTTTTCAGTCTTTTTAGTAAAGAGCCCCTAAGTTCAGTGGACCTCTGCAAGTAATCAGTGTGCATCGTGTAGTGGTCAACTGTAAGAGTAAAGTTCAATAGAGTGGATCCTGGTTCTTTGCAATGAGTTACCACACTTAAGCTGGTCTTCAAATTTGTCTCATTCAGCTGAGAGAAATCCATAGATTCCCCCATCCACACTAATTGGCATGGATGGAGGAATCCCAGTAGCCGGCTATTTATTCAGAAGCTGCTACTCTAGCAGCTGCTACATCCCCGAACTGTACCTGCATCTGACTTGATGCAGGTGCCGTTGGCCAAAAATGTTCGGACCAGTTCCTTTGACAAAAGTCAATAGAAAAATCATCAGGATCTGGCCAAAATTTGCTGTGTATGGCCAGCTTTAGGAATTCGTACTTAAGGGCCAACCCTAGGCACCATTATTTTTTCAACTTTCAAGGGCTTACCATGTGTTTACATCTGCTGTTTAGGTTTTGTGTGTTTTCTACAAACCTGTAAAAAAAAGAATTCTACCGGTTTTCCTGGATTGTACTGCTGCCTCCCGCTGACTTGCTATTACTGACACCAGCACTGGTGTTGTGTTCCGGCCCACTCTGTGCGCTTAGCCATTTACAAAGCACAGCTTGTGATGACACAACTGACCTTGATGATGTCACTGGGAGGCAGAAGTACAGTTGGAGTTTTACTATCTGGGTAAACTAAATGAGTATTTTTCACAGGTGTTAAGAAAGCACTTAGTTAACCTAACAGCAGAGGTAAACACGCAGTAAGCACCCGAAAGTTATACAAGTTATGGTGCCCAGAGTTGAGCTTTAAGAAAACATTTTTTTTATTGAAGAAAGCTGCTTATGTAACACTGCACAGTCTAAATCACTTCAGTCAATGAATTTCCTGTCTTTAAACATAAAGTGAAAAACTTCCCGTAAAACAGATAGCGAATATGGAAATCATTATCACAGCTGCAAACTATCACGCTTATATAAAGCACACACATACAAAAAAAAAAAAGAGAGAACGTTGCATGAACTTTATATATCTTCAGAAATGCTTCCAGCTTTGCTGACATCAGCAAACAGACATTCAGGCACTTTTCTCAAGATAAATTGGGAAGATACACACTCACGTAGTCTGGGCCCCCTTCTCCCCCCCCTGAGATTTCCATCTGCCAAGAAGCTGAACTCCTCAGCAGTAGACTTCACATACAGAGCCTCCTTGCTGACCTGCTCATCTCTCTGCTACACAAGCTGGAACGCAACATACTTTAGTGTAACGTTGTGCTTTCTGTCCGCTTCATGCCATCACAGGTAAGCAGCACAAGGATGAATTTTGTTACTTTGTGCATTAAATGTATAGTAGGCTAGTTTTTATATCAGAAACAGGCATATAATTTTTGTATCCTGGTATCTTCAGGAATGAAGCATACTGTTTTTGCGAATATGATGCAGTATTGTTTTATATATTATTTGCATAGCATTTTTAAGCACTTTAGATTTGTATTAGTACATAGCTCAATATAAGTTTCAGGAAAATGCTATTATGGATGTTCATTTGTGTGTATACGTTCAAGGGATTCAATCATATGGCATATGCCAAGTGCAGCTGTTAGCTCGGGTCTTATGGCTAGATTTACAGCATTCCATAGTGAAAACTTGTAACAGTAAAATATACAAATGTCATGGAAGCCCACTTGCATTGGGATGCCAGGACTTGCGGCGTGTTAACATCAGGTGTGGTCTGCACATGATCCTCATATACAGTTGCATAAAATGGCATAAATGAAAGTAGCCTTGTGCATCAAGCTTTTCCCTAACCTCTCATATTCATTTTAAAATGATTCGCAGTATACACAGCATCTGCCAGCAGAACACATTTTGTGAGTACTGCTTCATGATTCATGAGGTGAGGAAGTTTTGTCAAAGCCTGCTTTGAGGGGGAAGAGAGGGGGTAAAGAGTAAGCCCCCCCCCTTCTGAACAATCGAGGGACTAAGTAAAATATGCTTTCTGTAAATGCTTAATTATTTCTAAAAAAAATGATGTAAAAATTCAGTGATCAATACCTCCTGCAGGATGACACCAAAACAAGCCACTTAATTCACAGTCAAAAGATATGTAACATAATGAAAAGTCATATAAAGACATGAACAAATGTGTTAGTACCCTTACAGGTAATAGAAACAATGCTTCAATGCCTCCTGAAAAGTGATGTAATTAAAAGCAATCGTCTCATGTATACCTGCATGCCATTGGCATGCCAAAGAATAAAGAAAGTGTGCAAAAAGATAAAATGGCATGGACAGATTTGTTAGACCATAGTGATATTTTAAACTGTTCTCTGTAATTACCATAACACATGCCTTCAATCTTGTAATCAGTTAATCGGCCTATTTAAATGGAGAAATGTAGTCACTTTAGTGTTTGGAATCATTGTGTGCTCCACTCTGAACATGGACCAGTAAAAGAAAAGGAGAGAGTTGTCCGTGGAGATCAGAAAGAAAATGATAAACCCACATGCCAAAGGTTAAAGCTTTAAAACCAACTCCAAGCAGCTTGATGTTCATGTGACTATAGGTGCAAATATTACAAAGAATTTTGAGCTCCAAGGGAGTGTAACCAACCTCCGTGGACATGGCAGCAATGGGAAAATTGACCTCAGACTGAACAGAAGGATACTTCACATGGTAGGCAAAGAGCTGAGGAAAACTTCCAAAGATATACCAGCTGAACCTCAAGGTCAAGGTACATCAGTGTTTGATCGAAGCATCCTTCACTTTTTGAATGATAGTGCGCTCAATGAAAGAAGACCCTATGAAGGAAGACTCCTCAATGAAGGAGGACTCTACTGTTGAAGTAAAAAAAAACAGACTAGAATTTGCTAACATGAGAGAATGCCATTTGGACATCTGAGACAAAAATATGAAGCTTTCAAAGAACAAATCACTGTACCTACTGTATAAAATGGATCAGGCTTGGATGTATTTGGGTCTGCTTTGCTTCACCTGCAGGGCACATTTAATTCTCAAGACTATCAAGGAATTCTGAAGTTACACATACTTCTCAGTGTCAGAAACCTCTGTCTCAGTCATAGGCCTTGGGCCCTACCACAGGATAATCACCCAAACACACAGGTAAAACTACCTATAAATTAAAGAACAAAACATTTTATTATTCTGCAGTGGCCTTCTATGAGTACTGATCTGAATCTTGTTGAACATCTATGGAAAGTGCTGAAACATGCAGTCTAGAGAAGGTACCCATTAAATCCAAGACAGCTGAAGCATTTTACACACAAACAGTGGACCAAATTACTTGTTGGCAGGTGCAGAAGCTCTATCATTGATAAATCTTTTGTTTGCATAAATTGCCTAGAAAGGCAATGCATCAAAATATTACATTAAGGGTCTCACCATTTTTGTCCATGCCATTTTCATTGGTTTTATTAAATCAAATGTAAAGGCTGATTTTTATTAAATGTGACAAAAAAAACAATGACTGGTAAGTAGTGTAGCATTTTTCTAATTAGTTTATATAAAAATGTGGGTTCTTTTTTTCATGGAAGGGTACCAACAAATATGTACTAATGCAAATTAGGATGTACTAACACAAAAATATGATCTTGACTTAACATATGCAGGCATGTTTTTACATGGTGGCAGTATGCATCATACATACTGTATTGATCAAAATAATTAGTCCTGTCTGTAAAGTGTGTGCAAAGCCAAAACATATTTTTGTTTTACATAGAAAAGTGTTAAAAACCCCT